CATGTGAACATAATGGTAAATTTGAAAGATCTAGGAAAAATCTGAAAAAAAATCAAGAGTGATCTAGATTGTATACTTGAAGACGTCCCGTGAGTTTTCTTGTTTGGTGTTACCCTTAATCATATATTCAAGAAAATTCGTCTTATACACGGTATACGGCCTGGAATTTCGGAATAAAAATTTGAAAATCTAACTACTTATGATATTTGTAGCGGATATTTTCATTGATAGGGCTTCTAGACACGTCAAAATGAGATGTCAAATTTTTTCAAATTTTTCTGAGGCTTTACTGCAGTGTAATTTAAACAACTGGGAAATTGCTCTTGTGTTGTACATAGTAGAGTTATTTTTGCTAATAAATTAACAATATGCTTCCAAATGGTTATTTTGCCCATCATTTCCTTCGATCATGTATAATCCGCTGTTTATTTCATTTTATTAAATCAAATAAGATTTTTTTTCAACTAATTTTGTCAGATCTTCAACTTCGCTGAATGTTATCATCAAAATTATTCTTACTATCTCTTTCTTCTATACAACCGATTGTCTCTTTTGCGGTTCTATCTCTCCCCTCAACCCTTCGATGAAATGTTAATGAAAAAATTTTATTTACACATACTTCATTGAATTTGAAACACCACATTTAAAGAAACCATCAGAAAGTTCACTTTCAGGAAAATTCATGAAATTTTTTTAATTTTCAACAATCATCATAAAAATCAAATCAACCAATATAACTATCGTAATCATCTTGTAGGACTGACTTAATGGCATTAAAAGAAACATTTTAAGTTATGATTGAATTTATTTGAAGCCTGATATTCAGAGATACCCCCGGAATACTGATCTTCAAAGAATAGAAAATTCTGCAAATTTTCAAATAAATCAAAATCATGATTATTGCTATCGCCTTCATCTTCGAACTCGGTCGAAAGGACATCGAAACAAATTTTTTAAGCCATCACTCAAGCAATTCAGAACATTTTTTTTTTAGTTATTGTGGGACAACTGATTTTCGAAAAAATTCGAAAATTACAAAAAATAATCGATGAATTAAATTTTAATTAATGTCGATGGATAGGGCTCAACAGTACCCACATTTGGGAAAAAGGATTGATTTAATTCCATGGATTCTTCAGCGAAGAATTGAAGGAAAACTTTACCACACACGTACCTACGAACACGGTCTAAAAATTTCATTTTCCGACTTTTTGGATCATAATGGCTCGATATAACACAAAAAATCCAAAATTTTAATTTGAACGATGACAATGCTTCCATTCGAAAGCAAAAATCGGAAAATGTGCCGCCCAGTTCTCATAGCGTGACCAACGGAGTGTTAATCATTGTCAAGATAATTCCATAATTGACAGTTTTACCACTTTGCATGTACGAAAAAATTGCATAGAAACATCCTTCAAATAAATTCGATGTGATTTCTATTGACAATTCTATTATATAGCTTTTCACTGCTTCTACTAGAAAATTACGTTTTGGCGAAACTTGACAGTTTTTTGCCGAAATTTTCTAATGATAAAAAGTGTAAAGGAATAGATTTGAGAAATTTTTCCTGAAAAATGCGAGGCAGTGTAGAAAATATGCTGGATGCAATGGGAAAATAAATTAGATTGACACGTGTGAATGGTCAATGAAAGGGAAACAACAACTCTCTTCAATATTTGAGAAGAAATCTACATTTTTGTGAATACTTGTGATTTCGCGTAATGATTCTTAGGTTGTTATCAATGGAAGGAGATAATCATCTTGTCTGGTAATAATAGCTCATCAACAACCTCCTCCATGAATTTTACATTCAGCTCAATCATTCACGCGTAAACAAGAATTCCGTCTCTAATGATTGACAATGATATATCACAACTTCTCGGTAATGCTCGAAAAACAAGGAATTCCCTTCCCCTGCTCCAATTCCAAAAGCAAGGCCGTTTTTAATTTCGAAACTCGATCTACTCCGACGGTGAATATGGGACATTTTAATAGGTTATCGGTCTTCCCCCGTGTGACCCACACGATAGTTCAAGTCCGATTATGTTTATTTACGTGTTTTTTTTCGAGCAGTGTACACATGAAGCAGTTACAATTTTATAATCACAAACTGATTGGTATTTTCGAAATCTTGAATAACTTGTTCCTGTCATTTCGGAAAATCCACTCGGATTTTGAAATTCTGACGTAAATGAGGATTTTCCCCGAGGGTAGTATTACTTGGATACACAGGAAACTGAATCCGTTCATTGAATATCTGGAAATATATATCATACGAGTTCGTATAAAGATAAACTTATGTAATTTCATAACACATCCGGAAAAATTTAATAGAAAAAGAATTTTAGCGAATTCGTTAGAAAATTCGATTCGATGTCTATTGAACTTTCTATTAGTTTTTGGCCGATTCTATTGAATATTTTCTATTGAAAATATTTGAAGAGAATAAGTTATATAGAAAAATCGATTTCTATTGAGTTTTTCTATTGAATATTTTCGATTGAAAATTTCAATAGAAAAAGTCAATAGAATTCGATTTTTCTATATAACTTATTCTCTTCAGATATTTTCTATAGAATTTCCGCGGCTCAAATGTTGTATGTTTTTTTCGTTCTATTTTTCTTTTCTTCTCATCACGAAAATCAAACAAAAAAATTTGGAAAATTTGAGCTGAGGAAATTCTATAGAAAATATCTCAATAGAATAAGTTATGTAGAAAAATCGAATTCTATTGACTTTTTCTATTGAATATTTCCTATTGAACATTTAAATAGAGTCGGCCAGAAACTAATAGAAAGTTCAATAGAAATCCAATAGAATTTCCTAACGCATTCGCTCGGTCTTTCTCTTAAATTTTTTCATCCGTGAATATACTTTTCATGGCTATTTTCAATCGCAAAACATATTACTCAATAATGTCTACCGTATGGCGGACGGTGAAGGTAAACATTACGCATTTGTTCATGAGAAACTAATAATTGAAGATGAAGGTGAGAAGTTGAAAAAAATTCAGATTCAATTATTCAAAACGTCAATATAATTTTCAGAACAGCAATGAATAATAATAAAATTTTCCGAGTTTTTTTCAACTTGATTTTTATGTTTCACTATAGATTTGCTATAAAAATTGAAAACAATTGATTCTTTCCCATAAAGTATTCTCTATGAATATTTCTATACAAATGATGCAGAAGAAATATGAAACACCTAATAGAAATCACATACAAATATCAAAATTTCCTTTTTATACTAAAGAATCTCGATAGAATTCCCCACGGAACGAAAAGTTGGATAAAAATTATCTGCTGAATCACCGAAAATTGAATTCAATAAGAAATATTTTTCGCAGAGGAGATCTTACACTTCGTACAGTAAAAAAACATCTATGGATGCAAAAATTAATGTTTCCTATGAAGTAAAAATTCGCGCACCGGTAAAGTATCTTTTATGGCTTGAATGTGAAGAACATGGGAATGGACGAAAGTGAAATTTTACCGCATTTGATAAAAAAAAATCATTCTCCGTCACGCAATACTCAACAGTTATTCACATTCATGGGAGTTTTTGATGGAATGAATGGTAAATTTCACTTTCGGGACAAATTACCCTCACGTGTAGTAAATTTTCCCGAGTCAGCGGAGACAAATTCACTATTAAATTTTTAGAAGTGAATTCGCTAGAAAAGTCTATTGGAATTTTATAAGAATTCTACGGGATTTCTATAGGAATTCCATTGGAATTCTATTGAAAAATTCTATTCGTTTTTTGCGCTGATTCTATTGGATATTCGATAAGAAAAAGTCAACAGATTTCGATTTTCTGTTTGAATATTTCTCTTGAGATTTTTTCTATAAGAATGCTTGGGCATCATCAATTTTCTAATCTTTTTCCACTCGCATCCTGCAATGCAAAACCAAATAAAATCTAGCAGAAAAAAACTTACAAAATTTATGCCCAATAATTCTAATAGAAAAAATCACAAGAGAAAAATTCTAACAGAAATTCAATTTCATTCATTCATTCAATTTCATTCATAAAATTCCAATAGAAATCCTATACAAACCCCATAGAATTCCTATAGAATTCCAATGGAATTTTCTAGCGAATTCGCTAGGTTTTCTATTGAATTTTTTTATGCGCGAAACCTCATAATAAGTTTTTTAAGGTAACGCAAATAGAAAACAGGTTTTTCTAGAAGAATGCTTGGGCATCAATTTTCTAATCTTTTTCCACTCGCATTCTGCAATGCAAAACCAAATACATTCTAGCAGAAAAAAACTTACAAAATTTATGCCCAATAATTTTCTAATAGAAAAAATCACAAGAGAAAAATTCTAACAGAAATTCAAAATATATTGCTGTTTTCCTATCAAATATGCAATAGAATCAGCGCAAAAAACACGTAAATTTTTTCAATAGAATTCCAATATGAATCCTATAGAAACCCCATAGAATTCCTATAGAATTCACATAGAATTTTCTAGTGAATTCGTTAGGTTTTCTATTGAATTTTTTCATGCGCGAAACCTCATAATAAGTTTTTTAAGGTAACGCAAATAGGAAACAGGTCACAATTTCATTTGAAAAGAATAAGATATCATTTGAAAATTAATCAAATGATCACGTCGATATTCCAATGAACACAATTCCATCAGTAAAGATTTCCGAATTGAAAATGTGAAAAATTAATTAATTCGTTATTCTCCTATCAATACTGTTCCACTTTACTGTTTTCCCTGTGAAATAAGTCGATACATAAGACTAAAAATGAGGAGAAATGTTGACAAACCTAGAAAATCAGGAGTGTAAATGCCCTTGACCAAGCGCGGCTTGTGCCCCTGTGTAATATCCTATCATTATCGTCTACTGTGTAAACCCAGCGATGATGAGGAAGTAAACGATGACGAAGAGTTTACATGTGAAGAAGGATGGGTGGGGATTAGAGGACAAAATCTGTGAACCGGTAAAGAGCTGGCAAATTGGTGGGAAGGAGAGAGTATATTAACGCCGATGTTGGGTAATGATGAGCACAGTCAATCATGGCACGTTACCAAGTGAGCATCGGTCTTTTGGTCCTTCTCGTTCTATCCGCGAACGCCGGTAATTCACAAATTATTTATTCTTTTCACGCTATCTTCGTTATTAAGTGGTAAAACTCACTAAGTTGAATACGACAACATTCTTGAACAATTTAATGACGTAATTATTTTAAGAGTGAATGATTTCAATGGAAAATAGAAAAAGATTTCTTGCGGATGAAACATCTTACAAAAAAATTTTGACATTTTGCCTCGAGATAATTCATTGTCAAAATAATTTTCAAACTGAGAGTTAAGATAAGTTTACTTGTGACTTTTGAAATGTCTGTGATGGGATAAATTGAATTCTTGTCCATATTTTTCTGTAATTCGCAATTTTCACGCTATCTTCGTTATTACGTGGTAAAATTCAATAAGTTGAATACGACAACATTCTTGAACAATTTAATGACGTAATTATTTTAAGAGTGGATGATTTCAATGGAAAATGGAAAAAAATTTCTTGCGGATGAAACATCTTACAAAAAAAATTTGACATTTTGCCTCGCGACCATTCATTATCAAAATAATTTTCAAACTGAGAGTTAAGATAAGTTTACTTGTGACTTTTGAGATGTCCGTGATAGGATAAATTGAATTCTTGTTCATATTTTTCTGTAATATGCAATTTTTGCTTCGGAAGCATTGTAATCGTCCAATTTTCACATTCTCTCATTTTGATTGAAAACGATGTATCGTGGTCTAGGACATAAAAATACGAAGTTTGGCGACCATGTCTATATGTCAGCATGTCCACCGCCAGTCCATCTTCCCGATGGTGAATTTTTACAAAATTGAGTAATTAAGTGGCTAAAGCAATTCCAAACAAGCAGAGGTAGAAGCCTATTCTACCGAAGCTTTTTTACTGTCGCTTTTTGTGATACTACTTGCTCTCGTTTTTAATTTCTACCAATTCCATTGGTAGTATGCTTCCGAATGGATCCGTAGTTATTCCATTCCAAAATCCAATTCCACTTCTGTGATGGATCGAATCCAGAGTTGACTCAAATTTGGAAATTTGGAATGCCACAATTTGGAATGACTCAATTAGGACCGTATAAGTTAACTCGGCATGGACCTGATGTAGTTCCCCAGATCAGGTCGGGGCTAGGATCTCCGTATAAGATCCGGACACGGGTGCCCGGTTCAGGGCCTGTCTCGACCACGCGTTACATTCATGATCAGGACCATATAATTCAATAACCAGACACCAGCCTGATATGAATGATGAATTTGTCAGCGTTAGTAGAAGTCTAAACCACTTCACAGTCGAAAATAGAAATCTGATCTCTAAAAAACAGAAACAAGATATGATTCAACTAACGTGCCTGTTGTGTTTAGTAGTATCAGCTATCATATTCTACTACCAGTACAAATATTTAGCACCACAGTTACCGTACTTCACGTGGAATAGTTGAAGCCTTATCTTTTACTCTAATTTTATACTTGGCGAAATTTTATTTTCCTCTCATTGCACCGCTCGTTTCTCCCTTCCTGCATTAATTTTCGCATTCCTTCAAATTTTTTACGTAAAAATTAATTATCAAGTATCGGCGGTTGGAGGGGATGCAGTTATTTGCATAACACGAGGCTGTTAATTGCACTGCTCTCTTTCTTTCTTAACACTGTAAAAAGAACATGATATTGTCATTGGATTGAAGTTCACCAAAACATAAAACAACTGATAAACCGACCCTATAACAGAATGGATAACCTCGACATGCATATTTATCTTCAATATCCAAATTTAATTAAAAATATCCAAGAATGAATGGTTTTTAAAGTGAATGGTTTTTGAAAAATATTCCACTTCTCCTAGTTTGGAATGACTCAATTTTCAATGCCTCCGAGTTATTTATTAACCATTCTATGGTAAACATTAATAATCTAATCACTTATACTTTTGTTATCGCGGCGGATTAGTAGTCGTTGACTCGACAACACAGTACATTTTCAATTAGGACCGTATAAGTTAACTCAGCATGGACCTGATGTAGTTCCCCGGATCAGGTCGGGGCTAGGATCTCCGTATAAGATCCCACACGGGTGCCCGGTTCAGGGCCTGTCTTGACCCCGCGTTACATTCATGATCAGGACCATATAATTCAATAACCAGACACCAACCTGATATGAATGATGAATTTGACAGCGTTAATAGAAGTCTAAACCACTTCACAGTCGAAAATAGGAATCTGATCTCAAAAAAAGAGAAAAATTGAAGTATCTCGAAAACTTTCAATTGAATGGTACCTATATTTTGATTTGCATCGATAGCCACCACTCAAACGAAAATTTTGAGAGCAAGCAGAATGCATTTGGTCCAGTAGTTTTTGAGATATTAAAGGAAGAATTTTCGATTATAAAGTTAAATAGCTCATGAACTACTGGGCCGATTTCGCCCACCGACAATACCAGCCTTCGTTACCAACGGCGCTATAATCATACAAAGTTTGAAGTTTTTATCTCAATTATTTTTTGAGTTATCGTGGATACAAGCGATTTTTTGAAAAAAGTGAAAAAATAGAAAAAAAAAACCCATTCTCCGTAGTGGATTCATTAGGTTTTGATACAAAAAGATAGGTATTATCAAAACAAAGATTTTCGGATAAAAAAAATTTTAATTGATAAAGCCGTTGATGAGATATTCGTGAAAAACCATTTTTGAGAAAATGCTATATCTCAGGAACCACTTAGTCGATCAGGCTGAAATTTTGCACATGTCTGTCTCCCATTAGGACCTATTATGAGCCAAAATTTCAGATTTTTCGTAAAGACAGTTTCAAAGTTATTGATGACTTTCTGGACAAATGCGCATGCACACACACACACGCACACACATACATACATACATTTGCTAAAAATATCAAATGTCGACGTTTCAGATCACCCTGAGTCATATCCAAGCAAAATTAGAGAATCGAAAAAAATTGCGATTACAAAGTTTCCATTCGGAAGCAAAAAACTGAAATTTTGTCAGATTATAGGTTTTAATGAGGACTAACTCTACAAAATTTTAGTCCGATCGATCTGATAGTTTTTGCGAAAAAGTGATTCGTTTTTAAATCATTTTCCGTAAATGTCTTCAAAACTAGGGGACCGATTTCGATTTTTTTGTTTCGAAAATTTTCGTTTCGATGCCTTCTATCTAAATCAATTAGAACATATACACCCGTTCAGAAAAAGTTTTCGAGATATTTCCATTTTTTCATAAAAAAAACTTTGTAGTCACTCTAACTTTCACAAAAGTCGAGATATCCACTTGCTTTATTTTATGATTTTTATCACTTTTATTCGGAGTTCTATGATGAACGTTGATCATAGGTATTAAATCAATATAAATTTGATAGAACCTCTTCGCGTTCGTCGTCATGTTGGCGGCAGCTCGAGCTCTTCTTCATCATCGAGCAGCTCTGGTGGACTCGATGGTAAAACCCACACTAAGACCAATACCCACGTTGAGGGAGCTGGCACCGCTGATGCTGGTGCATCTGCCAAGAACGACGGAATTATCTTTGATCAGGGTTTCGGTAATGGTGGATACGGACAGGGTGGATTCGGACAGGGTGGTCATGGACAGAGTGGTTACGGACAGGGTGGATTCGGACACGGGGGTCATGGACAGAGTGGTTATGGACAGGGTGGCCATGGACAAAGTGGTTACGGACAGGGTGGCTACGGACAAGGTGGAGGACACGGTCAATTCGGTGGCGTCGTTGATCCTGGATTCGCACCGTAAGTTGAACAATTCTTTAAATTGATAAATTCAATTTTCCGAGTGATTTATACAGTAAATTTTTATCTGGGAATAATTGTCTCGTGGCCAAACAATTCCAAATAGAAATGGGACGACGTTTTCTTTAGAAACGTGTAATGGACGAGGGGCTGGTCACTCCTCAATCGAGTGACTCAGTGATTTCCACAATCTCTGGCTGAATTTTCGAATGATTTTTGTGATTTCTCAATCAGTATTAGAAATCATGATTCCTTTCGATTTCTATGATTTCTAGTAGATTCCAATGACTTCTTGATTTCAAGAAATCACTGGAGAAATCATGATTTCGGGACCAGAGTGGGGCATCTGTTGGCAATGACAGTTTTCTACATGACATTACAATACGTAAGGATGTCAAAAACTTCATAACGTCACATTTCGGGTTTGGGTGGTTTCGAACGCATCGATACCACAACAAAAATTGTAGTGTTGAAACTGCAAAATCAATTTAGAACTTATTGATGATTTCTAATGATTTCGGAAATCACCTGATTTCTTTGTTTTCTATTGATTTCCGATGATTCCCAGTAATCTTTAGAAATCCACTGAAAATGGAAATCACTTAATTTCCAGTGATTTTCATTTATTTCTGGTGATTTCTTCCTTGATTTCCAGTCGAGTGGTCTAGTGATTACCTAAGTGAGCAGTCCCTCGGTAATGGAATTCCCCGCGAATAAAGTTTTTTTGATAATTTTGCCAATGGGCCATTGAATAATCCAATTAAAAATTTACGCAACGTGATGAATGAGTCACCTTGATGCATTAACATAGTTTTCTGATTAAAAAATTGAAATTGAAAAGGAAAGAAATTGGACTTTCTCATTCCAATTTCAAATGAATTAATTCAACTCGAGGGAGTATTCTTAATGCATATATCTGAATCTGAGAGATATCACAATTTTCATGAGGTGTTAGCAGATTTCACTGTGCCTTACCTATAAAAGGATTAAATTGGTTGAATTATATCATATTCTGCAAACAATTATGTTCAAATGCACTCAATGTATTCCGTTTGACCATTTCACTCTTCCCAGGAAATCTGACAGAAAAATCAATTACATTTGCTTGGAAATTCTACTGTAGCTGCATTCGGATTCTATTGAAAAATTCCGTAGTTTCTCTGCACGTTTTTTTAAATATAAATATTCAGGAGACAATATTTGATATGAAAAATGAATCAATTTGTATTATCCAATCTGACTTATTTTATTGAGATATTTTTCATCGAAATTCCTCGGCATAAATAATCTTATTTATTTTGACGGCCTTTTTATTTCTCTCATAAAAACATTTAAGCCGAACAATACTTATAGGATCAATGTCAACAGAATAAGTAAAAATCTATTGATTTTTCCCATGGAATATTTAATGAAATATTCCCATTGAACGTTCCTATTCTAAATATCGTGAACTGAAACTGGTATTTTTGAATCTAAATAACCAAAAGAAAAAAAATAGAAATTTCAATCGAATTCCAATTAGATAGGAGTCCAATAGAATTTCCTAGCGAATGTGCTAGTTCTTTCCATCAATTTTTTCGCACGTGCATTGAATCGATTATTATCGGTCACTTAGAGATATTTCCCAATGATTTTAGCAAATAGAATTAAAATTTTCTAACAAACTTCATTTCCACTTAATTAGCCCCTATGGAATACTTGGTACTGGTGGTAGTGGTGCTGGAGCTGGAGCTGGTGCCAGTGCCAACGCGAACGCCAACGCTAATGCCAAGGCTGGAGCCAACGCTGGTGCAACAGGTAACATTGATTACAATCCCTAAAAGACCAGTGAATTCATAACGGCATGCTCTTTTAACTCTAACCCACGAATAATATTAACATGAATGTAATTTCGATGGCCAACTCCATGAAGGAGTCCATGATAATCAGGGTTTATCTATTTTTGGGAACGATCAAGATTTTCAGGGAGGGGAGGGGGGTCAGTATATGATTCTGTGTTTAGTGCTCGTTCTCCAATGGTATTGAGTGGTGGTAATAACAATCATCTTGGCCTTATCAATTTATACACGCTCGCATGATGAAATGAGTCAAGAGGAGCTACTCACTCTATAATTGAGTGACACCATGATTTCGAAATGAAATCAGTTTCGGGTGATTTCAGCGATTTAGGATGAAAAGATTTTGGTGATTTCGAGCGTTAAGAGAGGTAATTTCAGGATTTCGAATGATTTTGTTAACCCTAGATTGGTCACCCTATGAGGAAAACCCCGCCGCGCGTCGTTTTTGTTTAATTACAATTGACTGGCTAACAGGAAAAAATCAAAAAAATTTGACTTTGTCAATTGAAGTGTCTAAAAAATTATAGTAATTTTGAGAACAATATATTTCCTAAAATTCCTAAAGAAAACAAATTATTTCGGACAGATGAATTATTTTTTCCCATGATAAATGAAATTGCCCATGACGCGACGTTGCCGAAAACTCACTGAACGCGCCCGGGCAGTGTAGAGTGAATTCGGCAACACTAGAGCCTAAATAATACGGTGGGGAATCCCCGCGGACCCTAGTAGAAATTCTGACCGGCAGGGTGACATTCGGTGGGCGCGCGCACCCAGACATTTGGTCTTGTATATTGGGCGCGCTAGCAGGGACGTTTCGCATTGGGACGTTTCACATTGTATTTCTACCAGGGGAGGGTCGCGTTTGGTGACTAGACTAGAGTTAATTCGAAATCAGTGATTTCAGAAAAATAAAGTTAATAAATAATAGAGGTGGGCAAAACGGGTTGAGTCAAATTATAAAAATCAAAAGTGGCAATACTAACTGGCAAATAATAACGAATTCGTTTGATTCCACTCTGCCAATCATGAGTCAATGACGATGAAAAGCGGTTTATTTTACCATTTTACTATGGCAGTGAGTAAAATTGTTATCGACATTTGATTATCATCGTTGACAGGCATGTCAATTTCAAAATCATGAATTACTTGTACGGTTCACATTACGCCAGTGCACCACTGATTTCATTGATTTCAGACGATTTTACGTGATTTCGGAGATGATTTCGAAAATGATTTCGGAGAGCTGAAATCTCTTGATTTCAGTGATTTCGGTGATTGCACGTGCTTTCGTTACACGTAGAGTAGTATGTCGGGGGATTCAAAATGACCTTCACGACCATAAAGCCGGTTAACCAGTAGACGTTTTCATTCTGGAAATCCAGAAGAAATATTTATTCCGTTCATCGAACTCAAACTCTTTGGAAAAGTAATGAAAAATTCTGATAAATATTGACATTTAAGATAATGTAGATTTGAGCCCTCAAAAATGATGATTTATATGTAAATTAGGTATATAAAAGTGTCCGAAATTTCTAGAGGAATTAACATGGGAAAAAAGTGTACGAAAATCTAGTGACTCTCAGAACGAAAAGGTCTATTGTTGGAAAAGGAGGGCTACCGATTAAATTCCATAATTTTTTTTTGGGAGGGCGAGGGAGGTGCATAACTTTGATCACAGTTAAAAAACGAGCGTCGATTCTGATGCTAACTCTAGAGCTTGAAGTAGATAGAAGTCGATATCGGTGCAATTGCATGAAATGAGGTGATCTGGCGAGACCGGGGAGAGGCGTGTACGTCCTGTGCTTCATTGCAGAACGAAATTGCTCTTTTTTAAAATTCTTTGGCATGGACTGGGTCGTACTAGAAATAATTAGTTTCGGGGTGAAGAGGAAACACTGCGATACTAATGTGCAATTTTGCTTCCTGGGTGATGCTGCTTTGTTTTATATAGAATCTACCGAATGTTGAACACGCACACATTGCTACTTACATTATGCTATTCTTACATGTATGAGATGTATACCAGCTATGCTGACTTTCTCAATAAATGCATAATAATAATAATAATAATAATAATAAATTGGGGTGCCTTTATTTGTAAGTTTTCAAATTTGCTTAGGTATTTCCTAAAAACCTAAGTAAATTTAGGAAACACTACATGTTCCAATCAAACTAATCAGCATGATAAAAAGTAAATTCCAGTTAAAATTAATAATGTCGCCACTACTCTCACCTCCCTCCCACTTTGACAGTACAAGAAATCAACTATTGATGATAATTTAGGTCTAGGTAGTGGACTCGGTCACCAAGGTGGTCACCAGGGTGGTTTGCAAACTGGTGGATTCGGACAACAGGGTGGCTTCCAGACTGGTGGATTCGGACAACAGGGTGGTTATCAAACTGGTGGACATGGACATGGACATCAGGGTGGATACCAGACTGGTGGACATGGCCAACAGAGTGGTTATCAGACTGGTGGACTCGGACAGGGTGGTTACCAAGCCGGTGGACTCGGACAAGGTGGTTACCAAACCGGTGGGCACGGACAGGGTGGTTACCAAAGTGGTGGATTCGGACAACAAGGTGGATACCAGACTGGTGGATATGGACATGGTCAACAGGGCGGTTACCAAACGGGTGGATATGGACATGGTCAACAGGGCGGTTACCAGACTGGTGGATACGGACGTGGAGGTGCCGGTAACGCCAATGCCAACGCCAACGCCAATGCCAACGCTAATGCCCTGGGCGGGGCTCATGCCGGTGCCAATGCAAACGCTAACGCCAATGCTGGTGCCGGGGGTTTCGCAGGCGGTTTAGGTGCTGCCACTGCCAACGCCAATGCCAACGCCAACGCAAATGCCAACGGCTTCGGTGGCGGTGGATTCGAGTAAGTATCTCATTCGCATTCATATCTTCATCTTTAGTATTTAGTATTTTTATGCACATGTCTCCGCGTATATGATTTGCATGCTGTTCTCTCCTTGATGAGAAAGATAAACAACAAATTTCAAGGTCTGCCACGTCATTTCTGATAGTTCATATCAGACTGATGACAACATCGTTGAAATAAATTCATTTTTAAGGCGTTCGATTGAGGATCTTTCTTGCAAGTAGAGGGTGAACCGGGGTTTTACCGGGAAAAGTAATTGAAATACTCAAGAGAGGTTTATAGCTGAAAAATTTAGAATTTACTGCGAAAAATCTTTGGTTAATAAAATCGCTAACGTTTCCGGCAACTACACTCACGTACATCCATACACACTGTTATAAATTTTCCACAAAAATTTCCGGTAAGAGTCTTAAAAATTTTGAACAAGTAACGTTTCCACTGAAATTTCAAGGATTTTTGTCATTGAAAATTCATAATGTCATGAAAAAATCCATGGCAACTGCAAATTTCAGTTTAATTATTCCGGGAAAATTAATGAAAAATCAACAAAATTCACAGAAATCTGTCTTTAAATTTCAGATTCCTCTGAATTTTCAGGGAATTCCTTCAAAATTCCGGGAATTACGAGAATTTTAAAGGAATTCCCTGAAAATTCAAGGGATTTTGACAGTGACTACTCATTTTCACTTCAAAATTCATGTAAATTATGAAATTTCTGTCTTTCTGCCGCTAAGAAATTGCAACTTTACTTAAATTTTCAGAGAAACTTGAAATCCCATTGACTTTTTCGCCTTAAGCCTCGCGTGTATTATTTTTCGAACGTGATCTGAGTTGTTTTTTTTATTTTGATAATCTGAAATGTCCTTCAATTGCCATTCAGGTTTACATAGCTCTGGAGTCTTGAAAAGTTGATTATGCAATCAAAAAAACGTTGAACAAAAACTGAACATTTTTAAAAAGCGTTTTTGAATGATATTGGGGAATAAACCCAATGGGGAGGACATTACAAATTAATAATTAACAGTATCTAATGGCTGCTCAATCCTTATTTGTCTCAGTAGGCAATGTCAGATCGTTAGTTGCTATAATAAATAATCCATTTATAACTTCTTTTCTGTTGAACTTAGTTCCTAATCTTTATTAAAAATGTTCTTTGAAAATGATCAGTTTTGTCTTCTTTTTTTGATTGTGCAACCATAATTTTTAGGGACACCTACGTGATGTAAGATCCAGTGGAAATTTTGATATATTTTAGACTATGAAGATGGGAAAACAATCAGGATAACGTTCCAAAGACAATCCATCCGGGCCTTAAATCGAATTCAATGTGTTTTTCAGAAAAATTCAGCCAAATTCTTTAACAGTGCAATCCAAATTTGAAAATCCGTCCGTTCAATGTGTCACAAATTTTACTTTTTTTGCAGCATCTTCAACCGTTTTAACGATGAAGACTCGAAGAGCAGTACCGCCTCTTCAGGCACCAAACCCGCATCAGCCAGCGCAAGTATCTCCAAGGACGGAGAAGTTGACGGTGCCAAGGGTGTCTACAGCAGCAGCTCATCCGCAGTAGATTCGAGTGGCAAGGGCACGTATCACGTAGAGGCCGGCAAGATCAACTAGTGGATCAGCGATCTCCAAATCATTAATTAATTTTTAAACTCAACGAAGGAATATCAAATTTCCATTGATCAATAGTGAACTACACGAGAGGAAGAACTCAGGGAACGAGTGTAGTTTTACATCATCATCATCTTGATGAGATTATTTAAGATCCAAACGATGAAATCTTCGTATTGTTCCGCAACGCTTGAACCATCAATCATTTGTCATTTTTTTCCACCTGAGAAAATTCATCTTCAGTCGTTTTTTTTTCTCAAGAGTTATGTACTCATTAACGTTATTTGTGATAAGTTCATTGCAAGATTAATAAATAGATTTGTTTATCACTATTATGATTCTATTTTGTTATTATTTCACCATGTTACGAGAATTTATCAATCGATTACACAAGAGAAGCAAGTCTGAACTGTGACCTTGACACAAAACTGAACCGGATTGCGCGTAACTCATCTTGGAAGGGAGATAAAATTTTGAAGATCAAGCGGAATATTCATCGCACGTGTCTACCATTTTAATCCTCATCCTCTTTTTTATTATCAAAATAATAATATTCTGTATTCTTTGCGGATGGGAGAGAAATGAGTGGTTAATCTATTCAATTACTCAGGATGGAAGGCCAGGAAGAAATTAAGGAGATAAGACATAATTTGAATCTCATCGTTAAATCTTTATTCTTAAAAGGGGTCTAGATCTCATGAATAATTAATCAACAGTTATTTACAGTGATTGATGTCAGACGATTATGTGAAGCCTTTCGTAAGTCATTTCCACTCGCAGTCGAAATTCTAAATTTTTCATTAATTTGTCAGTCATGGAGTTTATTGCTTTTCAATCTGTTTTTAATTTTAATCAAGTTATGGTTAATTAAATCCATTGAACTCATTCTCAGTTTAGGAAAACAATTTTATCTTTGTTGTCGGCAACGGCAGTTTCGTTCATGTCGTCAGTGATTGAGCGACTCCTGTAGACACGGACGAAAAAATTCAATAGAAAAACCTATCGAAATCGTTAGAAAATTCTATTGAATTTCTATTGAACTGTTCTATTAGTTTTTGGCCGATTCTATTAAAATGTTCGATAGAAAATATTCAGTAGAAAAAGTCAACAGAATTCAATTTTTCTGCATACCTTATCCTATTGAGATATTTTCTATTGAGATTTTTTCCTCGGCTCAAATTTTCTAAGTTTTTTCGTTTTCTTGGTGAGAAGAAAAGAAGAATCAAATGAAAAAACTTTGAAGTCGAGCAAATTCTATAGAAAATATATGAAAAGAATACGTTATATAGAAAAATCGAATTCTGTTGACTTTTTCTATTGAATGTTTTCTATTGAACATGTCAATAGAATCAGCCAAAAACTAATAGAAAGTTTAATAGAAATTCAATTGAATTTTCTAACGACTTCGATAGGTTTTTCTATTAAATTTTTTCGTGTGTGGAACCAGGGAGATTTATCGTAGTTTCCAGAGGATGACGCTGAAGATGATGAAACAGAAGAAGTTCCGGCGCCCCCAGCGCCACTTGCATTTGCGGCAGAAATGCGCCGAAATGTGCAGCCTTTCGTAAGTTGTTTATACTCGCATTCGAAATTTCAAATTTTTCATTAGTTTGTCAGTCATGGAGTTTATTTTTTTCAATCTTTCTTTCTTTCAATTTCAATGAAGTTATGGTCCATTAAATCCATTGACCTCATAATTTGAACCCTCATCATTAAATTTTTATTCTTAAAAGGGGGCTGTAAATAACTGTTAATTAATTATCTTATGGATAATTAATTAACAGTTATTTACAGTGATTGATGTCAGACGATGATGTGAAGCCTTTCGTAAGTCGTTTATACTCGCAGTGGAAATTCCCAATTTTTCATTAATTTGTCAGTGATGGAGTTAATTTTTTTTTTTTTTTCAAAATTTTAATAAAGTTGTGATTCAATTAAATCTATTGAAATCATTCTCAGTTTAGGAACACAATTTCATCTTTGTTGTCAGCAACGGCCGTTTCGTTCATGTCGTCAGTGATTGAGCGACTCCTGTAGAACCAGGGAGATTTATCGAAGTTTCCAGAGGATGACGCTGAAGCTGATGAAACAGAGGAAGTTCCGGCGCTCCCAGCGCCACCTGCACTCGCAGCTGCTGCACTTGCGGCAGCAGCCGCCACTGGACGACCATTCACGATTCCTGTCGTTGCCGATGCTGCGGATGATGCGCTAGCAGCTCCACCCCCGAATCCCAAAGTTTGCGAGTTTGAATTTGAGTTACTGCTGGAGAAGCCATCCGAAGCCTGAGAACTTCCCTGGGAATTTGCCTGGGAACTTCCACTCGGGAAGTAATTTGGGAAGCCTCGGTGGGGGTGACTATTTGATGGATGATATGATGGACCATAATGTCTGGGTCCTTGAGATTGGGCGTTCGCTTGGGAATTACTAGTTGCATGGCCCTTTGATGCCTGCGAATTGCTCTGGGCGTTTGCATTTGCCTGTGACCCTCCACTTTGATGGAAATCTGGAAAGCCTCGGTTGGGATGGCCGTTTGATGGGTAATAAGCTGGCTCATGATAGCCGTGTCCTTGAGACTGCGCGCTAGCTTTGGAGTTGCTGCTGGCATGGCCGTTCGAAACTTGGGAATTACTTTGGGCGTTTGCGTTTGACTGCGAATTTCCACTTGGAGAAAACTCTGGGAAGCCAGGTAACTCTGGGAAACCTGGCTTTATTCTTCCAGAGGTACCTGGCCTGGACCAAGAATCTTGAGGACGATTGTTGCTCCTGAATACACGAAATAATGATAGGTTGAAAATTGTGGTGATTTTATGGCAAAGGTAAACTACGATAGTCTCGTAAAACAGCGCAGTATAATAAACGGGTTCAAATATATCAGAAACGGTGATTTCAAACGATAATGTTCAAAGACATTATCATTTAGTAGTTGAAAAAGTTTTCAATGAAAAATGTCTTCTGACATTCTCACCTGAAATCACTAATTATCAAAATAATCGGATACCGTGAATATCTTGTAGCTGTTTAAATTACCAACGAGCATTGTACATTATACCCTAAAATGACTTTTAAAAAGAAAAGTCAGTGCTCAAGAAGATGTGAAAAATTAACATATTACGTTTGAACACTTCGTTATCTATTCTGTATTGATCAAAATGACATAGGAACTTCTTTCTTCTAATCTTTTTGGGAACATCTCCGAAATCAATAGGTACCAATAGTCATCAGAGCTGTGCACGAGACGAGACGAGATTTTGAGAAGTTTCGGTATGGTCTCGCTACTGGCTGACGTTGTATCGTCTCGTCTCGTTTTGTAATACGTTGGTCTCAGTCTCGGTCTCGTTTCGCTATCAAAAATGTATGTCTCGTCTCGGTCTCGGCTCAGTCTCGTCTCGTTATGCTGTTCTGTTTTCACAAGAAGAGGAGATATGGCTTTTCAAGAGACAACTTAATGGCTTTATTTCAACGTTTGTTACCACAAGATGAGAAATCCAAATCACTCAAAACTGGTGAGACGATTATCCTCTACAAAAGGCTGCCTAGCATTTTTATCGTGAAATCATTGAATCAATCGATAATCACCAGATTAAAGAAAGCAATACGTATTTCTCTCGAATTATTTTGCGATCCATCAATTACTAAATTGTCTTAGAAACGAGAGATTTTATAACAGAACGTCAAGAATCACTCTTTTAGATAACACAAAATCTTCTGTATACACTCGTTTTGAAACAATCTCCACTTTCTCTCCATGCCACGAATTTTGTTTTAGTTTTATTGAGTATATGAGTCTATTACCCTCCATTTGGTTGTTGATGATGGCCCTGACCTGTCGGTTTTTCGTTTAGCCACGAATTGGAAGCGTGAATTGAAGCATCATATGTGTTACGCCCAAACTTATTTGTCTTGTGAAATCTATTAGAATCATCACCGTTGAACTTCGCTCCCGTCTCTGTGTTTACGTTTGAAACTATCTGATCGGGGAATATGATGCTGTCACTGCAACACACTGACCCTAAACAAACATGTCAACATTGCTTCTTGAATAATTCATCCCCACAATCAATAAAAAAATGTAATGAAAGAATAAAAATTTACCAATGAAAACAAATCCTAAAATGGCGACGAAATAATGCGACGCCATTTCGCCTTTTGTTGTTATATTCACGCTTGGAAGTCCCTTCTGACAGTTACGATGATGTATCGACACTCAGGAGCACAACTGGTCGTGGATTACGAGTGTTCCCCACTTTTTATACTTGAAAAAACGTCAACGAAAGACTGGTAAATCCGAAACTACCACACGTATGCGTAAAACCGTTCATTAAGGTGCAAACGCGTCTTCTCAAGCGGCACGAGTACAATACCACAATTTGGACAGCTCCAGGGTATTTGAGAGACCATTTACCTTGAATTAAGATTACTGATTCGTCGAGACAGTTTGAGAATCTAAGGGATTTGAATGCGTGGCCTTCAACCGAGGTGTGACCTCTCTTCCTCCACACTAAGAGCCATGTTTTCAGAGTTCTGTTGACATATCTTCTTATTTTGCCTCATGAATTTGTTCGTTGAATCATGGTAGCAACAGATGGAGGAGGAGAATAGGCGGCCTTAGAATTTGTTAACAGTAAACCGATGAGTTTCTGAGAAGTGGACGTTTGTGGTCAGTGGTTAATCAGGACATGGAAATCCCCAGTATAGACATTGAATAAGTTCGGTTCGCTAATAGTGGCTGCCATCCATGGGCTCATGATGAATTCAATTTAATTCAAGTTAATTTTATTTCATTCTCTCATCTCAAAACGCATTTTGAATTGTACGCACGAAAAAATTTAGTAGAAAAACCTATCGAATTCGTTAGAAAATTCTATTGAATTTCTATCAAACATTCTATTAGTTTTTGGATGACTCTATTGACATGTTCAGTAGAGAAAAATTAATAGAAAAAGTCAACAGAATTCGATTTTTCTATATAACTTATTCTTTTCATATATTTTCTGTATAGAATTTGCTCGACTCAAATTTTCCAAGTTTTTTTCATTCCATTTTTATTTTCTTCTCATCAAGAAAATCAAACGAAAAAACTTTGAGCCGAGGAAATTGAACAAGGAAATTTGAGCCGAGGAAATTCTATAAAAAATATCTCGATAGAATAAGTTATATAGAAAAATGAATTCCATTGACTTTTTCTACTGAATATTTTCTATTGAACATTCCAATAGAATCGGCCAAAAACTAATAGAACAGTTAAATAGAAATGCAATAGAATTTTCTAACGAATTCGATAGGTTTTTGAAAACAAAAATTTATGTAAAAATTTAGGAATAGCAATCATTCGCATAGAAAATATTCGTACAGAAATATCCGAATATCATATACGGAAATCCTATAAAATTTCTACAGGCAATCCGTATAGAAAATTTCTATACGATTTTCTCATACGTGTCCTTCTCCCAGACGCCTATACTGCTTTCGCCAAAGGACAAGGGAAAACCTCATTTGAGGGAAAAACCTGCCCAGATACAGTCGTCTCTCGCGAGACTCTCACTCGACAATGAAACCGTGAGATTTAGAGGGTCACAAATTTTGCCCCAACCCTCCCCCCGATCCCTTCGGAATTGAAGTCGCGTTCCCCGGATGCCAATCCCATACTCTAAACACGCAGTCCCCGCCGTCGGTCGAGAATCCTTTCATATACAGAGTGACATTAATTATTGGCCTAATTATCACATTAACTTAATAACAAGCAATATCAATAGAAATCATCAAGAGAAGTTTTCATAGCGCACTGAAAATAAAAATTATTTTTGTCCAATATTCATTTATTTGATTGAAGGATTTATTTTTTCAAAATCGTATGTCTCCAATCGAGTCATTCCCAGGCGAGTCTGATTAGGTTTTCATTATGACAATCATGTTGCTTTAGAGGATGGCTATGTTGTACATGATTTTGGATGAACTCCTCCAATGATTATTCATTTTTCCTAAATTTTTTATGTTCTACAGGGAATAATTTCGACTAATTTGTTAATGTTTATAATCACTGAGGGAGTTCATTCAAGGTCATAACTAACATGATCATCTTCTAGAGCAATATCATTGTCATAATTGAAACCTAATGAGAATTGCCTGGAAATTTCTCGACTGGAGAAATACGGTATTGAAAAAATAAATACTTCTTCGAGTAAATGGATAATTGGCAAAAATAAATTTTTTTTTCAGTGCGGAGAAAATATTTGTACGTAAGGTCCCGTGATACTTTTTCATAAAACACCGAGATGATTCCGACTGAATCACCCGTGATTATACCTCCAAAAAATACTTTCCTGGTGTTTTTCATTCTTAAATTCTTCTTTTGCAATGAGATACCCTGAAATTGATCGAGTAAGTTCGTCAAATTTATTGTTTTGATGGACTTCAAATTGAACGCATGTACTATGAGTAAAAAATAGAGATTAAAGTCGCATTGTAATTGAATGATGTGACAGCCAGAATCAAGTACTGTTTATCGTACCACGTAATGAAGAGACGAGATTGTTAATTGTTACCTCAACGATTTTATTCCGTTTTTACCGTACTGGACTTGGCGAAAATTGAGAAATTACCATCATTACAAAATTTGTTAAGAATATTGTCTTCAGATTTATTTTGTTATCATAACTGTTAATCAATTGTTATCTTGTGGATCCACGCGTGAGTTGTGAAGAGGGAGAGAGAGATTCGGGTTCTTCAACCGTAGTAACGTCCGTAGTTTCCTCCGTATCCTCCGTAGCCGGGGTAGCCGTAGCCGCCGTTGCCTCCGTATCCTCTACCCCCGTATCCACCTGAAGATTACAATTGACTAATGAATAGAATGTCTAAGAAATGCATAGGCCAAATTCAGCAGTAGAATAGAATATGAAATATTTGTCAAGTACGAAATTATCTTGGAAATGAGATATTTTTAGACAGAAAGCTTCTCGATATTTTCTTCCGGCACTATTTGTTACCGTGATGATTTAAAAATTAATAATTGAAATGAGTTATTTCAACTCACACAGATCTTAAGTTTTTGTCTACCATTTTTCTTGTAAATAAATTGAACACAACATTTTTCATTTTTATTCGTGATCTTTTATTCAATTGAATCCTGCTAAAATGTGATTTTTTAGGTAGGAAAGAATCTAGTAGAAAAACATAGCGCATTCGCTTTGGAATTCTATTAATTTTTTACAGATTCAGTAAAAAAATCCCACAATTTCCCATCACGTTATTACAAATTTTCAATGGAAAAAAATTTAAACACGGAGAAAAATTGATTAGAAAGATTCCAATGATGGAAATTTTATTATAGCACATGAATTTTTCTCCTATTTATACAAAATTTTCACTTCATTTATATTATATTATATTTATAATTATATTTCTTCATTATTCTCATTGATATGAAATCTCAAAATTTTTTACCGGAAATAACCACAAACCTCACGTAACTTAAATCTTGTAAGTCGTTTCTAACTCCGTTTGTTCTAATATATTAAATCATTCAAACAAAAACGAACAGCTCCAGCAAAAGTAGCTGAATCAGTCATATAAATCGATTAAAATCTGTTCATATTTTTCAATAAAATATTATCCATTGAAAATTTCTACAAAACAATTTTACAATAAAATTGTCAAACAACAAATAGAATTTTCAATTCAAATCGAATAGAAATCCAATAAAACTTTCTAGCGAATGCAGTAGAATTTCCTATACATTTCGTCCGTGTCTTTTTCACCTGATGTCATGTCAAATAAGATAAGCCCAGCCAATTACAAACTCTGTTGCCCGAGAAAATCACACAATGCAAGAGTTCAAATTTCGGATTGTTATGAAGTTCCCCAAAAATGTCAAAACAATAATTACCATAGCCGCGTCCATAGCCGCCGTATCCTGGATAACCACCGTATCCTCCGTATCCTCCATACCCCCCATATCCTCCCCACCTGCCCCCTCTTCCTCCCCAGCCACCGCGGGATGCTACTTGCCCTTGTCCTTGGGCTGGTAGAAATCGAACGAATGGGTAAAATGGATGAAAAGGGAGGATAAACGCTAAAAGAGTTGAGAGTGTCCCACCAAAACCAGTCAACCAATTGCATGCAGGATTAGTAGCATAGAAAATAAAATTACACAACACCTCATCAGTTCCAAACGTCCCATTCCAAAAGAAAATGCTAATCACTGGATACTATCTTCATCCGCTTGAAAATTCATTGATAAACATTGAAGACATCTCGACCATATAAATAAATTTTCGTTTGCATAAAGACAATAACGAATTAAAAATCGCACAAAGCAGAAAGACGTCGTAAACGAAAGATAGAAAAAAGTAATTAGCTGAGCATAAATTCTTAAAAGTGAATCTTAAAGATTACAAAAGATTAGAATACAAAAGTTTTCGAAAAAAAATAGAAGAAAAAAATCCCCTTCGAAAGAAGTAAGAGACTGAAATAACAGAAACAAGAGAACGGACGAAAGTAGGAAAATTTGAATATTTAAATGAATACCTTCGCTCTCAGCACATGCGATGAGCACGAAAACGAGTAGAAGACCCCACAGTAACTTCATGTTGACCACTCAATCCTTCGGAAATACGTAAATTCTTAAAAAATCTCCGTTCAATTCGGAATAGAACTGCAGTACTACTATCATCCGCCCGCAGTTGCACCTTTTATATACACAAATCCTTCCACAGATTTCATACGCAAATGGACAAATTATAATCCCGTCTCATTCTTTCACGTGACTTTTATTCTTCCCTCCCACAATCGAATGTATCAAGAAGAAAAAATATATCGAATGTATCAAGAGAAAAAAAGGTCATCATGAGATGTCTTAGTCTAGTGACTCAGAGGGCTCTAATCGCATCAACCGCAGGTGGTAAAAGAACAACAATTAGAGAATAGCCATTGCATATATTTTCGCATGACTGTCACTAAATTCGGAGCACTCTATCCGGGTTTTTCCCCGTACTGCCATTCGTGTCCTTGCCAAGCATCATCGATCTTGACAATTCAAAAGAGAAAAAAATAACAGATCGAAAATAAAATCTCACGTCATGAAGTAAATTTGCAGAGTTCACGTGCGCGAGGCTAATGTTGCAGCTATAATTATTATGATGTTCGTGTGCATTTTTTAGGAGACGAGATTATCCTGTCAGTGTTACTCTTTATCAGGTATTAATTAAGGGTTTTATGAGATATGATGGATAATAGGAATGTTGGCTTGACGCGATAATTGGATGACAGCCGTTTAAGTGCAAGCGATTGGATTATTAACAGTTTAATGAAAAAAAATTTGTGTCTCTGGAGTAGTGGCTGAGGGATAGGTAGTAATTGATGGGTGGCAAAGATAAATAAATAGTGGTTGAATAGTCTTAGCCTTGTTTATTGGAAACGAGTGTGGAATTTTTAATGTGCAAGGACTTGCATGAGAAGATTCCCGGGTCTAAGGTGGAGGAGAATCATTCTCTCCAATGTTCTTGCAGTGTTTTTTTTTGTTATGGAACTTGAGACAATGGTGAGGAATAATATTGTCGAGTTGTGCTGTGAGGATGGAGAAGAATTGAAAGTGTCAGTTGTTCGATTGTTCGAGTGGTAAAATGAATCTTGTGGTTTGAGCTTGTAACATTAGTCATTAATGTCGCATTAAAAAAAAGAATAAATTTTACTCAGGGTACTTCCCTAGTGAGTTATATAAAAGAATTATGATTTTTGAGATATTCATCGTCAAACATTCAATTTTTGTCTTTTTTAAGTTTTTGTCGATGCATATCTTGAAAATTCGCGTGGAAAAAATACTTGAAATTTTGGGAATCGTTTTCACATGTGCTCAACAACATATGATCCCAATTTTAGGTCTTCAGTTCATTCCGAAATTTTCATCAAGTATAACTCACTGAGGAAGTACCTTAAATCTCGCAACATTGACCGTTTCGGAATTGTCTACGCGTTCAGAAATAATTTGGGATGTGCGTATTTTTCGTACAAAATGTGGCTGAAGGGACTGAATTTTTAATTATGGGGCAGGGGAATTGACTCTACAAAAAAAAATACGTTGTTAACTGAAGATTATACAGGACAATGTCAAGAGACCTTCATTTGCGCCCAGAAAATAATTAACAAGAAAGGTGGTTTCAGTTTACAACTGCGGCCCCTACCTACCCCTACTAAGTCACCTTTTCAACTATTACTAGTCATAAAATTTTTTTCTTTGTCATTTACGCACTGTTCCCGGGAACGAATTGTTCGAGAAAAAATCGCTCGTTTAACGAAGAACTGCAAAATAATTATTGTCCTTTGGTGAGTACGACTGACTATGACTACAAAATAATTATTGTCCTTCGGTAATTATATCCCCAATTTACCCCTAAAACTTCAAATAAAAAACAAATTAAGTTTTCGAAAAATTGCAAATTGAAAAAAAATAGATTTTGCCCTAACGGCTCTAAAAATTGGATAAATTGAGTTCAACTGCGCTCATTTTGAAACTTTTCCAATTACCTTCCAATATGTGAAAATGAAAATTCGATTCCTAATGATTAAAATCAATTATTTCGCCTTTTTCTCAAACAATCAAAATTCAAGTGGAAAAAGTGAAATTTTTTGAAAAATCATGACTAGCAAAAAAAATCGAATCGCTCTAAAAAATTTATAAGAACTCGGTCTCATGTATTCCTTCTCAAAAACAATCGGCTAGACAATCGGAAACATAAAATTATTTTCATTTCGGATTCGACCTGGGATGGCTCTGAAGTGATTGAGATATCTTAAATTTCAAAGAATTGAGGATTTTAACTATATGACTTTTCATTAAATAAAATAAATGCTATGGGTGCAACAGAACAATATCAATACCATCACCTAATCGCTATTGATAATTTATAAAATTCTATGGAGCGAATAACTCATTGCACATTTTCATAAATTGACTTGATTATTTTTGAATAAATTGGTTAGAATAATTTAAGATGAATCAATTTTTGGTGGACCTTTTTTCGTATAGTCAAGTGGTGTCTCTGTTAAAGCTCCTTTAATAAATATCGTTATCCCCCTCAGATTCAAAGATTTTGATTACAAACTAATCCAATGTCAAATTCGTTTATCATGCTTTATCACTCCATTATTGATTTGTATACTTTTCTTCGTTTCAATGTAAAATTAGCCAACAATTCTTATAAATGAAGACATTGTGGTTTTGAGCTAATTCAAACGATTCTACACTGCATTTACAAATATTGAGTGAAATTACAATTCTCTACTAGTCTTTAAGTGGCCATGTGACTACGACAGCGGTTACCGACCGAGTGAAAAATTTCAAACCAATTTTTTCTTAGGGTGAAACGATAATTATCAAAAAATCAAATTCTTACGCCCTTTATAACAATGTTATACAGGGTGTAAGAATTCGTATTTTCCAAAATAATCTTTTCACCCTAAGAAAAAATTGGTTTGAAATTTTTCACTCGATCGGTAACCGCTGTCGAAGTCACATGGCCACTTAAGGTAACGATGCATTCCATGAGAATATGATCAATTGAAAATGAAAATCTCAAGTATTTACGTGCATTTTCAATTGATACGATCCATATAGAAGCTGTAATTATCTAAATTGTAAATTGAAAAAAGTCTGAAGTCGCATAGAAAAATCCTTCAAAAAACCTATCATCAAAAATAAAATGAAATGTAGATAACGACATTTACGAGAAATGAAATAATAGAGCTGGAATAATTACAATTCTATTCACTCAGATATTTTTCCTTATTACAATTGATCGGTATTTCCATGGAAATATCATTAATGGAAAGAAAATGAAAATGTTAGCTGCATCACACGACCATTAACGAAACTGCTAAGTGACATTATTCACTCACGACGCATTCAAAAGTCCTCGATCACTTTGTGAAAACAATTATCATTCACAATCCAAGAATACAATTTACAAAAAGACGTAAAAGTCGTTAATAGTAGTTCTCAGGAAGAGGTAATATTCAAAGAAGTATGGCTGGTTTATTACACACAAAAGTATATCTAAATCTTTACAAACGAATCGATTTCTAGTTCGCAGGTTAAAAGTATTTTATACGAATTGATGATATTCTGATGATTCGGCCTCGTCATGAACAATTATAAAAAAAAATATTGCTAGGTAATAAAAATGTTGGAAATTCTAATCACATCCTTTTCAGTTCATAAACCTCTTGAATCTTTGTCCTCGGTCTTCCACATCACTTTCAAAATGTGTCAAAATTCTGCAATAATAAATCAAAATTAAAATGGATTTTTCAATGACAAAACGACATTAGTAAATTCATACATATAAAAGCATTGAACAGAGGACTCTAGTTCACCCGCTACAAAATTTTATCGAAGTTCTATTCGTACTTCACCGATTCCTACTGAAGATCGGGCAGTGTTTCCGATCGATTTTTCAATTGAAAGATTCAATAGAAAAAAATTAGTAGCTCGTTAAAACTCACTTTTTTCAGCTTTTCTCTGTAGAAAATCCCTCGGCATAATTTTTTCAAGATGTTTTCGTTCATTTTTTAATGAAATGAATAATAAAAATGTAATGTAAGAAGTTTATGAAATCTCCAACAAGAAATTTCTACAGAATTATTTGTATGAAAAAATAAACATTTTTTTGATAGATTTTTTTTCATTCAAGAAAGAATACAGAAAAACTGGCAAGTTTTCAATCGGAATAAAAAAAACTGATAGAATTTTTGATGGGATTTCGAAGCGAATCCACGGGCATTTCTCACGGAATTTTTTAACTGAGAGAAAAATTACTTTGGTAAAGATGATTTCCTTGATACAACAAAATATTCTCTCCAATTTCTAGAATTGTGAAATCTCCTGGTAAATAATTTAATAATTTTGTGCTCACACTGAGAGAAAGAAGTCTTTCAACAGGATGAGATTCGCTTATCCTGGCAAAATTTTCAAGTGTTAGCATGAGTCTTAAGTGAAAATTCATTCATCACCAAATCAACCAATATAGCTATCGTAATCATCTTTTAACTTCGACTTAATCGCACTAAAACAAACATTTTAAGCTATGATTGAATTCATTTGAAGCATGATATCCAAAGACATCCCGCGAATTCTGATTTTCAAAAAATACATAATTTTTGCGAATTTTGAAATAAATCGAAATAACGATTACTGCTATCGCCTTTATCATCGAACTCGGTCAAAAGGACATCAAAACAAATTTTTTAAGCCATCATTCAATCAATTCAGAACATTTTTGTTAGTTATCGTGAAATAACCAATTTCTGAGAAATTTAAAAAATTTTAAAAATTAATAAATTAATACATAAATGAATTTTAATTAATTGCCATTAATACGCTTCAAAAATACACAATATTCGTTTAGCCTACATTTGAGGCTAAAAAAGATTCAATCCGATCGATTCATCAGCGAACAATCGAAGAAATAATTTGCTTTCGGACTTTTTGGATCATAATGGATCGATATAACGCGAAAAATCCAAAACTTAAATTTCAACGATTACAATGCTTCCATGCGGAAGCAACAACAACATAGTGGAAGACTTCAATAATTTTAAAACCAACTTTTCTACCTTTACTATTGCACCCAAGGACTTACAAAATTAATCCAATTCTCGAAGCTCACGCACCATCTCCTCGAGTGTCTCTTCAGTCTTCCTCGTTAAATATTTATGAACAGTCGCCCAAGCGAGATCATGATCGAAATCCGTTCGATTTTTTGCCCGATGGG